ATCGAGTCGCTGAAGCCCTTGGTCGTGGCTGACTGCAGCTCCTTTTTGGGCCTCAGCTCCAGGGACGTGAAGCGGTAGTCGCCCCCAGCACGCGGCTGCGCCAGCCCCCTGTGGTCCGCCCGGAGGGTCAGCAGCTCCCTCGGGCGCAGGTAGGCGTCCGCCGCGAGCATCACGCCGAGGGCCGCTCGCCGCTGGCCGAGGTCGATCAGGGCCACCGCGAGGGCCGCTAGCGCCGCCCAAGGCGCCGGCGCCCATGCCGGCGGCCGCACCAGCCCCCGCCAGCCCTGCAGCGCCCTCGCCATGCCGGGCAGCTTCAGCTGCCTGCCCGCATGGTGCAGCCCTGGGCCGCGATGCCTTATCGCGGCTCGCAGCTTGGCCCCGCTGCTCGACGGCTCTCCCTGGTTGAAAGGCAGCTCCATGCACTCCCCCACGGCCTTCTTCAACTCGACGTCGCTCGCCGTGGTGAGCCCGCGGGTCCTGCAGAAGACGTCGAACCGATCCAGCCTTCTCTCGTAGTCCTGCCTCGTCGCTTGGGCGATGCCCTCCTGCTCCAGCGTCGTGAGCCCACCAGTCCCGACCGCATGCACCCTCGCCGCCGCGATCGCTCGCGCGAACGCCGGTGGGGGAGGGCGGTCGCGGCGGGGCACGCGGGATCGGCGAGACCTCGTCGATGAAGGCAGCCGTCGCTCGGTCGAGGACGCCGGGCCCGCTGCCGCTCTGACCACAGGGGCTGGGGCAAGCCGACGGCGGAGCGGGAGCCCGTGGCTCTCTGGCAAGGCGCCGCTCCTCCGCAGTACCCTCTTGCGCAAGGGGCCGCCAGGCCCGCGCGCGCCATCCCTCTCGGGAAGCGATCGAGCAGGCCTCGGCTGCCTCTCCAGCGGGCCGCCGTCGCCAGGCATCCAGCGCCGCCGCGGCCGCCTTCTCAGCGGGCGAGTCGAACCATCGGCTAGGCTCATCAGCTGGGTTGAGCTCGCTGGCCACCCAGCGCGCGCTGGTACGAGAGAAGGAGGCCAGTGACAAAGCGGCCCACTTTCTGAGTTGAAACAGCACCGGAGGTGACACCGCTCGGCCCTTCTCGAGGCTCAGGACCATACCCATGTTGTCGCACAGAAGCAAATGGCGATGACGATGATATCTAGCTTGACGACACTTACGCCTCCACCCGAACAGCACGGCCCTGAGCTCCTTAAGATGGATGGCCTCTCTCCTATTATATCTCCTTGCCTGGATGGTCCTCCACGAGCCCTCGCTGATGAACCCCTTGGGGATCTCAGGGAACTCCTGATTGATGCTGATGTCCACGTCCCCGTCAATGAGGTCTCCTAAGAAACCCGCAGGATAACCTGACTCCTCGCCCCAGCAGCCCTCCGCAGCGGCCCCAGCGGCCCCAAGAGCACCAGCCGGAGGTAGATCCCGAAGCCTTGGCGACGAGGGGCTCCACTAAGGCCTTCAAGAACCCGTAGAGGCATGGCTGGGTGTACACGATGCAAACCTCGGGGGCCCATGGGGTCGACACTCGGGAGCCCCGGCGGAGGAGGAGGTAGAGGTCGCCCGTGCTGACTCTCACCCTCGCGCTCGAGCAGTGCTGCCTCGCGCGTGCGCAAGGTCGACTGGATGCGAAAGCGCCAGCGCTCACTCCAGCGTCCGACCTCCCGCACGGCCGACGGTTCCATGTCAGCCTCCTGCGCCGCGTAGCCGCGCAGCGTGGCGTCGGAGCAGGTGACGCGCCCGGACCGCGGCAGATCGAACTGGACGGCCAGCAACGGCATGAGGTGCAGCGCGTTAGCCAGTTCTTGCCGCACCGACGGCCCGAGCGGCACAGGCGCCCTGTAGTGCTTCCGGGCAAAGTCGTAGGCCGAGCGGAAGACGCACAACGCGGGGCGATTCAGCAGCATGGCATGCGTGAAATGGCCGATCATCTGCTCGACCTCCCTGCCCGCCACGCGCCGGCGCCGCAGGAGGGCCTGGGTGCCCGGGCCGAGCCTCCAGCGCTTGGCCCGTGCCAGCCGGGCCCGCAGCTTGATACCGTCCAGCTCCAGGCCCAGCGCCTCCACGACCGTCTTGCTCTCCTCGACCTCGTGCAGCGGCAGCCCAGCCTCGGCCATCACCTTGGCCGCCTGCCTTCTCGCACCCCGGGTGGCCCCCGGTCGCGACGAGACGAAGATCCCGTTGTCCACGTAGACGACCCTCGGCACCTGAGGCGAGTCCACGCTTGGAGCGATCTGCCTGTCCACCAGCTCGCTCTCGATGCCACCGAGGCCCCCTCGCCGCAGCAGCTCGCGGTGCGCCTGCTGCGTCCAGCGCATGGCCCGCGCGAAGCCCATGGGCAGCACCCGCAGGCATGGGTAGACCCACGCCCCCTCTGAGACCGCGAGGCCGTCGACCACCTTCACGCCCAGCTGCCTTGCCCTAAGAGGGCGCATGCCAAACCACGGCACCATGTAGTCCGGCACGCGAAACTGGTAGAAGCAGTCTGCGATGTCCTGGATCGAGAACTCCAGCTGGGCGCCGCCCTCGACCTCCATGTTCACCAGCGCCGCGGTGGACGCCATGTGGATCGTCGGCGGCCGCTTCAGCGCCTGGTTGACATCTCGAGCGTCCACTATGAGCCTCAGGCGGCCCGACTTCTTCCTCACGAAAAACACTCCCACTTCAAATTCGCGACGAGTCCGCAGCTCCACCATGCCGCGGTCCAGCAGGTCCTGCACGAACCGCAGGTACTCGTCTGTGTTGGATTGCAAGGTCTTATCCCAGTACACCTTGGTGGCGCCTGGGCGAACCTCCTCAGCGCGAAGCATCATCGAATTCTTACCGTCGATCACCTCCTGGCGGTCTGGCTCCGGCAGCACCTCCAGCAAGCTGACGCAGCCCGCCGACTCAGGCCACGAAACCAGGCCGCGATCATACGGCGCAACCACAGTGGGGCCGTCAGAGCCGTAGCCCAGACTACCCGTGCCGAGCAACTCCACGAGGGCTGCCTCGGGGCTGGGGGCGTTGTCCGGCGGCTTGTCGTCCGACACAGCCTGCCAGAGCATGTCCACAGCAGAAAATTGTGCCTCCGAAGGACGGGCCTTCGAGCAAAAGTCGCCCTCCCCGTACAGATTGTTCAGGGCGGCGATGCAATCGTTCACGCGGCGGCCCACAGCAGACCTGCGGCCGATCCTCTGGGCGGCGCGGCGCGGCAGCGACCGCGCGCCCCGAGCCGGCGGCACGGGCGCCGAGGGCAAGGGCAACAAATCCCTCGGCACCATGCGCTCCAGCGGCCTGTTGGCACTGGCTGGGTCCGGCCAACTCCCAACCTCGAAGCCCATCATAACTTCTTCGGAGGAGCGCGCGCCAACGCACGCTCCTCCGCAGCCCTGCGCTCCTCCTTCAGATTGGCCGAGTCCCGGGCCGCGGACTCCGCGACCCACTTCAGCAGCTCCAGACCGATGATGGCCCCCTTCGTCCTCCTGGCGCGGCCCAAGCAGTAGTCCTGGCCATCGAACTCCTTGATCGTATCCTTCTTCTTCTTGGTCTTGTGCCCCAAGACCTGCAAATGCCTCGCGAGCTCCTCCCAGCTCGCCAGGTTGGTCGCGTCGACCTGGCCGTACGTGCAAGCCAGCTCCAAACTCTCTGACAGCATCTCGCGGGCCACCACGCCCTGCTCATCATCGTCGAGCTTGTTCTCGTGCTTCCCAGCAGCGTGGCGATGGACCGGGCCCCCGCTCTGCTTGGCAATCTCCTTCTCCACGTACAAAGTGGTCCGGGGCCCAGATAGCACCCAGTCCTCGAACTCGCACAGCCCCGATGAGTCCACCACACTCTTCAGGTCCCCGAAGCAGCGGCAGGCCGCACCCCGCTCGATCTCGAGCGTGCGGGCGTCCTCCGCGGGCGGCGGCGTCGGCATCCCCCTGACAGCATCCAGCGCCGCGGTCGCCACGAAGGCCCGCACGGCCTCGTCCGCGGTCTCGCCCGGCTCCAGCCTGACCATGATCCACGACTGCAGCGCCGCGCCGCGCGGCCGCTCCTTGAAGCGGTAGTCCGGCTGGCCCTTCGCTGCCCTAAGGCCGGTCGGCAGGCCGCCCCGCGTGCCCGCCTGTCCGAAGTCCAACACGCTGCGCATGTCGATCTCTTCCTCACTCATGCCCTCGTTGGGGGACAGCACCAGATACTTCACTCCGCCCAGGGAGGCGAGGAACAGCCTCTCAGGCCACGTTTCCTCTGCCTCCCCGCTTGTCTCACGAGCAGATCCGCACCGACACCAGGCACGCGCAGTCGAACGCCCGCACCAGCAGCACCGCGAAGTCGCCGAGCAGGATGCCCAGGCCCCCGGCGACGACCGCCACGCGCAGCGGCACCGGCGCCCCAGCAGCCAGACTCGGAGAGGCCGGCGCTGGCGCAGGTCGACAGCGCCAGGGCACAAGGAGGGACCTGCAATCCTCTGCTGGTGGCCTCGAGTGTGGAGGCTTTGGAGAAGGTGGCCAGGCCGAAATCTCCCACACGCCGCCTCGAGAAAAACCGCTTGAGCCGAAGTGCGGCCAGGCGGAAAATATTAGCATTGCATGCTCTGTTACACTCCACGGGCTCTGTTTCACAACGCTGCTACAGGAGCAGGAGGAGGAGGAGGAGCAGGAGGGGGATGAGGAGGCGCCTCATCGGTGTTCGCGGTCTTCGGTCCCAGACGTCGGGCGTCTCGATGTCCTCGAGGCCCTTGCCCCCGACCTGTCGACCTCTTCCCCTATGGGGACCGGCTTCTCGCTCCGAGCCGTCCTTTTGACGACCCCGAGACGCCGAAAACGAGAACCCCGCGTCTCGACTACGGTGATGGCATTGGATAGGGAATCCTTCGACCAGGAAGCCAGGGTCTGGACGCCAGTGGACAGCCAATCGGATTGGCCATGGATATCACCGCCGCCCTCGTCAGAGAAGGAAACCTCCAGGGGTCTGAAGCCTCCTGGGCACGTTCCTGAACGAACGTCCTCAGCTGGATGCCTGGGGTGGGCGGGCCGGCGCAGCGCAGGGTCCTCCCCCGAGCACAGCACCGCTGGAGTCTGCGCGAGGTAGCGCCGGTCGCCCATGAAGAAGAGGGCCGTCCTCGGGGAGGGGCCCGCGCCTCTTTGCCCCAGACGTGCTCGCGTCGCAAATTCGCCGGCCCAACGGGCCAGAGGCGTGCCCCGGTTATGGGTCAGGGCTGGAGACGTTGTTTTTCGTTTGGTCTTCGTTTTGTTTTTCGACGTGCTCGACCTGTTTTCCTGTACCTCCCTCCCAAAACGAAAAACAAACACAGCCGAAATCCAGCAAAACAGCGCTTAGGTCCTGGTATAGGAATTAAAACATGTGTTCTACCTCGCGCGCGCGCGAGGCTGCCCCTGGGGGGCCCCTGGACGAAGAGCACCCGGGACAAGGTCCTGGCGAGTCCCGGTAAGGTCAGGTCAGAGAGGCCAGAACTCCTAGGCGCTGCCTCGGGGGCCCCCCGAGCGCCCCAATGAGACGCCAAAAGGGTGGCACGCCCCACGGCCTCAGGCCAGACACACCAATAATTGACTTGGCGAGGGTTTTCAGACGATTCTGGCGGTACCGCCTTTTCGAGCTGCCGAGCGCCCTGAACGGCCCAGGAGGTCCCAAGATCGCTCCAAGAGTGCCCCCCTGGCGCGAGGACTGCTCACGAGGCCTCCAAGACGGCCCCAGGATGGCCCCATTAGGTGGTATAAGGGGGAACCCGAACAGACATGTCGAGCACTCGGCCCCAAGAGGCGCCCAGGAAGCCCCAGAGGCCCCCAAGAGCCACCCAAGAGGCCCCAGAGGCCCCCAAGAGGCCCCAAAAGAGGCTCCCAAGACTCCCACCCGGCCCCGAGGAAGCCACAAGAGGCTCCTAAGAAGCCCCAAAAGAGGCCCCCCTAAAAGGCATCAAAACTGCTCCCCAGAGGCTCCCTCCGAAGAGACCCCGAGAAGCATGGTCAATGAAAATGCGGTAGGCGTCCTTTGGCTCTTTGGCCTTGCCGCATGCTCCCCAGCCTTTGGCCAGGGCGAGCTAGGTCAGCCCCCTAAGAAGCCGCCGTGGCAGTGCAGTACTGCCGCTGAGCGCCGTGCCTGAGTCTCAGCCCGAGGAGCCCCCCACCCTGGAGGAAGTGGGGGCGCCGACCTGGCCTACGCAGTGTCCGCCGCCGAGGGGGGGAAGGAGGGGGAGGCCGCCCTCCTCCGAGAAGCATCCATGAGGAATTTGACCCACTAACCCGGTGATTACGTCTCGAAGCTCTGCTGAAGCTCTCTTGAGCCATCTTCGCGCCCTCTGGGGCTGTCTGATCGGCTCCCTTCGACCGGATGGAGCAGCATCTCCAAACATCTCCTCGAGGACCGTCCTGCCTGCCCTCCCGTTCCCCCTTGGCACGAGCGCACCAACGCAGTCACAGTGATGCGAAATGGGCCGGCGGAGTGAGCGAGGCGATGACAAAAAAAACAGTCGCAAGCAGGAAACTTGACCCCGGTGACATACCCGACCCATTCTAAACATATGGTAACTATACCCAAGACCGCCAACTACAAACAATCAGGGGCGCGCAAACATGGATTAGCGAGCCAGGGATTTGGCGCGCGGTCGCCAAATCCATGGATCGGGGGAGGTGCCCTCCCCAACATGCGGCCGGTGCCGCCTCGCTCGGCGGCAGAAATCCGCAATTTCCCACGGAAACGGGACCCATAGCTCGTCCACGCCCCCTTAATCCATGATTACGATCGCCTGAAAACAAACAGATTGAAGGACCCGCAATGCGCATGAGCACCTAGAAGTGGCATCAAAAGAACACAGCAGCGGGAATACGGGAGTAACGGCTGGGTCTGCGTACGTGCAGTTCCATGCCGCTGGACCTCCCAGGAGCCCATGGAAGCGGCGACAACTGCGCAGTGCCTCTCCCCCCAAGGGGGGGCGCGAGGGCCCCGCTTGCCACGAGCCTACGAAAATGGTGGCGGTTGCGCAATTGCCAGCACCCGAAGGAGCCGCGAGGTCTCGACGAGGTGTGCGTGACACACCACTCCGCCCTGCATCGCAGGTGCCAGCCCTCAGGCAAGCGCGAGGTCCGAACTGGATCCCCGTGGCCCGCCACTCCACGGGACCTCCCGGGAGCCCACGAAAGTGGCGACAATTGCGCACTTCGCAGCCCCTTCAGGGAACCGCGAAGTCCCAACTGGAGCCCCCTGGACCCCCACTCCGCGGGACCTCCCAGAACCCCGCGAAAATGGCGACACATGCGCACTTCGCAACCCCTTCAGGTAGCCGCGAGGTTCCAACTGGATCCCCGTGGCCCCCCACCCCGCGGGACCTCCCAGGAATACGCGAAAGCGGCGACAAATGCGCACTTCGCGGCCCCAAGGGAGCCGCGGGTTTCAATTCGATCCCAATGGTCCCCCACTCCGTTGGACCTCCCAGAAAACCACGAAAGTGGCGACAGTTGCGCACTATGCAGCCCGCTAAGGAGCCGCGAGGTCCCAACTGGCCCAGGAGCTCACGAACGTGGCGAAGGCAACTCAAAGCAGTTGCTTGGGGGTTCGCTTGGCCTGCTCGGTCTTGCTGTAGACCTTCGGCCAGACACCCCTGCTGATACGGTCAAGGTACTCCCTTCGAGTACGAGTTAAACCTAACTTGGGGTCACAAACCTTGCCCAGGGAAACCAATTGCTCGGCGGCAAACGCTCCACAGGACAGGCAAAACCAGAGACCCAGCCCCAGGTGAAACCTCAAACTGTGGCTTTCGTGAGCGTGCCCCCCCGAGATGTGCGCCCTGCGCCCAGGAGGAGGCTGACCACCGCCTGGCGCTACCGACCCGTACGGAGGGGGCAGGGCAGACAGGAGTTAGACCTTCCGCAAGGGGGGGAAGGGCCCGACGGCGGGAGCTCAATCGGGACGAAACGGGGGGAGGCCATCAGTATTTTTGGCAGCGCCCACCTTGCTCAGGCGAGTTGGGCGGCACCCGACAGGCCTCCCCCCAAAGCACAAAGCCAAGCAGGCTCGAGAGGCATCCCCGTGCGCGGCTGGAGGCCACGTGCTGCATATGTAATTTTGGTTGCCTGAGAGCTACGAGTCGATGGATGATTCGATTTACCCTGGCACCTAGTCTCGAGCCCACGACGATTACCCCCTGGGAGGATGGTGTGAGCCGGGCACAAGGAACAAAAGACAACGCGACCCTCTTGCTCCACTTGGTGGCCCAGGGAAACGGAACGGTCAGTGACAGCATGGACGAGCGTCGCCTGGGCAGAAAGTGTGGGCCCGCAGGACTCTGTCCGTGCCCTCCAGGGGCAAGCGGCGCCGCCACCGACGACACAGGGATACCCTACTCCACGCGCAGGGCAAACGCATCCTGTGCCTGCCATGCCCGGTGCGGTGACGGACCATAAACCCTGCGCGAGCCCGAAAGCAAGTGGGCCAGAGACGACAGCGCCCGAGCGATGGGGTTGCACGCGCGGCACCGCCACCCGTTGAGCAACGAGTAATGGAAGACTTCGTGTTGCGACAGCACAAGGTTCGAATCTCGAGGCGCAGAACGGGGCCCCTGGGCCATCGCCGCGGACGACGGGGTCGACTGCTATTGAGCAACAGCAGCGATTGACTGAGTGAACCTGGGCAAAAAATCGAGCGCGAGCTTCATCGCGGTAGTGACGCCCGACCGGACTTCTTCAAGAGACTTGGCCGCCGCGCGCGACTCAGCCCCCGAACAGGCGACAAAATCTGCCCAGATACCCCCTCAACAATTCATCGCATCAGACTCGGACTCATCGGCAACCGCTTCCTCCCAACTTGTACGCGACGGAGTCCACTCGAAGGAAGGTCTCGGCCCAGGGAGGGGATGCAAAGCACGAGATCCTCTCCATATGCTAGCATGTCGCGAGCCACTAGAGGCCTGGATGGGGTCCCGCGTCTTCCCTTCCTGGGCGGCGCTCAGGTGGTCGGACACAACGCGCACATTCAGGGGGCCGACTCGAATCGCCTGAAAGATCGCAAACCGCTCAGCCCGAGGAACCGACTGCAACCGACCAGGGAGACCCCCGCACCGCGCACGCACAGGGAGCCCACGAGGCCCCAACTCCACGACACACCATCCACACCGTCGAAGTTCGGGGCTGCTGGTGCACAGCCCCGAGCCGTCGGTGTAGTCCGCGTGTCCTCAAGGCGCTTCGGTTCCGCCCCATTCACGCACGGGGGGCGCATCAGGGACGGGGTCAAGGGCAACGCGGTCAAGGGGAAGCCCATGCAGAAGGTCCAGAGAATCCCACGCCTGCACGCCCTCTTCAAATCTACCCTTCTCCTGAAGCTCAGACCTGCGCACAAGAACATCATCGGGGACCACCTGACCATGCGAATCACGGAAATTCCGAAACGTCTCACATTCAAAAAGCAAGTGCCCCAAGGACCCAACTACCTGCTGACAACAAAGCGCGCAAGGAGGCGTGTCGCAATATCCTGCGGCATGTCTCCCCTCCTGCGTCCACATGGCATGCGTGGCATTGCCTATCAGACAACGGAGGGCAGCACGACGACTGCCGCCTCGTATTTTGAAGAACGCAACACGCTGCTCACGCAGCCACAGACGCACTGACCCATGCGCTTTAAGGAGGTGGCTCAGCATGTTCTGCGCCTGCCACCTCTGTATAGACTCGCGGAGTAACATCTTAAGGTCGAGCGGAGGGACTAGGCGCAGGTTAACGCGCCTTCCTCCGTCCAGCGATGATGCGGGCAGCGGCCGTGCTCCAGCTGATTCGCATGGGGCGTGACAAAACAATACTAATGGGCCCGCGGCGCGACTTCCAGTTCCGGCGCTCCTGAACCTTGTCAAACATCTCCATCCAGGCGCTCTGGAGCCTACCCAGGGATAATCTAAAATCCCAAACGTAAGAAGCAATACGCTGCAACGTTAGGATGGTCGCATCGAACATTGGGCCGTCATATGGGGCCGGGCTGAATAGCAAGCCAGGTCGTCAGAGACCCGCTCCGCTCCGCGCCCGCCAGGGTCCCCGCCATGGTCCGAAGGGTTCCCATGGTCGGATCGGCCAGCCCCGACGCCCCAGCCCCGAGCGCACCAGCGGGCATGAGACCCGCCCTCC